GGGATGCGTGGCTGGCGATGCGGAGGTGGGGGGTGCTTGCCAAGTACCGCTGCTGTATGCTGCTGTGCCCTGTGCCAGACGGTGCCGACGTAAAGACAGAGTTGCAGTCTCGACTGCGCCTTTGGGGGCAAGGCGAGTTCACTGCACTGATTGACCGAGTGTGGCTCCAGCAGATTCGAATCTCCCAGAGCGAACGGGGCGCAGCCAGCCAGCTGACTGAGGAAGACCGCCGAGCACGGCGGGTGAAGCAGCAGGCTAAAGCTGGGGCGCGATCGAAGTCAATCAAATCGCTGACCGGCGGCACTCGAGGGGGCACAAGCGAGGAGAGGGCCCAGTGGGCGACGGACCTCATACCGAGATCTGAGCGAGGGGCTGCGGCACTGGCGAGCGATGCAGAGCGTGCCGCAGCGAGCCTTGCAGCTTGGGGCGGCGGGGATACTGGCGAGGCATTGGCGGCCATGCCCTGCCCCCTTGGCCAAAACTGCCCCCTCTGTCAGCACCCGGGCCTAGCGGGGAACGCCGGGAGCATCTGACCGCAGCCTTGCGGGATTGCAAGCCCAGGATCAGGCGGCGGCTGCGGCGCGTTCTCGAGGAGTTCTCTCTCAGGTGGGCGTTGGGCGCGCTCCCGGACGCCTGCCGCTGGCTCCTCGACGCGCAGGTCATCTTCCTGAAGAAATCGAGGCACGAAGGCGCCAGAGATGAGGAGGACGACGCGTGGCTTGGCTGGTTCGCGGACGCCCCCGAGAGCGACGTGGTGGGCGAGACAGGAGGAGGGGCGGGAGGAGGGGCTAATGACGCGCAGGTGGCAAGTTCAGCCAGTGCGGGCGACGCTGAGGCGGCGCCGGCCAGGGCAGGAGCAGCTGGGGCAGCGCCTGGCACGCGAGCGCCAACGTCTCGGCCGATCCAGATGGGCGAGTTCTTGCGCAAGTGGGCTGCCATGCGGCAGCCCGCCATGGAGGACGCTGACATTTCGAGGACCACGATCAATGCTAGGCAGCTTGGAGTGGGTGTCCCTGGTGGCGCTGAGACTTTGGCAATATTCCACCAGTGTTCTTACGGCGCATGGCTGGGGGGTAGTCTGCCGGGCCCGCTCGCGCGAATCAAGATCGACCGGAAGAATTGCTTCGGCAACCTGGAATGGAAGGAGATGCGCGCCGCGCTTATGGCGACAGTGCCTCACCTGGCCGCCCCGACGGCTTGGTGCCCGACGCGCCCGAGCCAGGTTGAACAGCCGGGGGCGGAACCCCACGGGAAGGACCGAGGCGCTGAGCAGGGCGACGTCTACGGCCCTGTCCAGTGCGGCGTCTCGATGGCAGAGCTCAACGCAGACACTCGGGACGCCATGCTGGCGGAGCAGGCCGCTGGTACTCTGGCGTGGACGGGCGCTCCACCAGACGCTGCGCAGGCCCGCGTGCAGGCCCAGGAACGCGAGACTTCCCAGACAGCTTGGTCTTCCCAGCAGCCCGGGGAGCGTCGGGCCGACGGCGGTCGGGGCGCCATTGGGTTGAACCCGCGGCGCGCTGTGGTCCCTGGGGGCGGATTTGCAGATTGGTGGTACTTGGGCGATTGTGATTTCATTCTGCTCCATGAGCATGTCCTCCCGACGATGCGCCACTTCGACGCTGCTGGGGCTGCCCGGGGCTCCTGCCGCAACAAGGCCAAGACAGAGGTGATCTTCTACGCTGCCCAGGAGGAGGTCGCGAGGAATGCAGAGGCGTGGCGCGTCGCAGAGCTCGCGAGCGAGTGCGCGCATCCGCCCAAGCGTGGGGCCAATCACCCTGGGCGTGGTGACGGGGCCAGTGGACCAGGCCATCGAGCAGCTCCGGGAGAAGGCAGACGTCGCGCGGGCCATGCACAGGCAGCCAGAGATATTAGATGATCCCGCCATCGAGCACGTGCTCGCAAACTCGACTCTGAACGTGAGCAAAGTCACCCACATCTTGCGCGTGCGCGGGGCTGCTGTGGCGACGCTGCAGGGCCGGTCTGGCGACGGGTCGCCCGGGCCTGGGCCCCTGGACGCAGTCGACCGTGCAGCCCGTAACACTCAGGACAGGCTCTTCGCGGGGGTGGACGAGGTCGGGTGCCAGCAGGCGCGGCTGGGGGTCGCGGTCGGGGGCTGCAGCTGGCGACGCGCAACAGACGCTGCCGTGGCGGCCAACTTGGCAGCCCTGGTCACGGCTGAGCCTTTGGTCCGCGAGATGGCTGGCCACTTTGCCACGGCGGGGGTGGCGCCCGCAGAGGCGCTGGTGCAGCGTCACGCGTCCGCTGTGGCTCGTGCCAGGCCGGCCTGCCTCGGGGCGCTCGCCGAGCGCGAGCGCGCGAAGGCGGAGCTGCTCATCGCGCGCGCCGGCAAGGCCGCAGAAGTATGCTGGGAGGATTTGAGAAGCGGGGCAGGCCGCTACCGCGTGGAGGCCCCTGGGGTCGACCCGCGCGACCGGGATCTCGAGTCCCGCGAGGTACCTGGGACATCGCCCGACCCGCGCGCAGACGACCCCCGCGGCCAAGCCATGGGCCCGCCGCACCTGCAGAGGCAGCTGGGTCGCCCATGGGACCTCACTGCCCTCAGGAAGCTTGAGGACATGCTCAAGGACGCAGGCCGCTGGCCGCAGGCGGAGCGCTTGAAAGAGCTCCGGCGTTCGGGGGTCAGCCACCAATGGCTCTGGCATCTAGATCCGGCGACTGGCCCCGTCATGGCGGCGGCGGACTACGTTGTCAACGTCCGCCGGCGCCTCGGCGCGCGGTTCCTCGCGCGCCCTGCGGAGTGCCGGTGATGCGGGCAACTTTTGGGCGCGTGCTTGGGGCGCGCCGAGACCTGCGGGCGCGGCGGCGCGCAGGGTGCCAGCGCGAGCGGCCACTGCGCGGCGCGCGACGCCTACATGACCGGACTCCGGGCGGCAGACCCAGCCGCAGCGGTGGAGGTTCAGGGGCTCGCGGAGACGCAATCCCGACCTGCCGACATCTTGACGACAGCAGCGGCCCCAGGCCGCCGGGCAGCGTTGGACATCTGTGTCTCCAGCCCCATCCACGGCAGCGGCGGGCGACGCCGTCGGCGCGAGCCACCGGCGGAAGCTCCGGCGGTGCGCCGGCGACCGAGCCACCCTGCGGGCAGCCAACATCGTCTACCAACCGATGGTTTGGAGCGCTGATGGCCGCCCCCACCCGCAGGTGACCAGGGCGATGCAGTTCGCGGCGCGGCGCGCTCGCCAGCAGGGCCCGGAGCTCCCCCCAGGGGCCGCCGGGAATTCCTGGCGCGGTGGGGCCGCGAGATCGGGGGCAGCATCTGCCGGGGGCGGGCAGCGATGGCGCGCGCGGTCATGCCGCTCGCCGACGCTTCGGCCCTCGCGCAGGCGTTCGGCGCCCCTGCGGACGAGGCCGAGGCGATGGGCCCCCTCGAGTGGGGCTCCGAGGACGAGGAGGGCGAGGAGGAAGAGTAGGGCGCGCCGCCGGTGCCCCGCCCCGCCTGGTAAAATTGCAGGGTGCGGGCAAAAGTGCGCGCTCCCACCTCGGCGCCGCTGCGCTTTTCCTTTGAGGGGCTTGTCGCGTATTGTTTTGTCACGCGCGCGACGCCCCGGCCAAAAATGCCGCCGTCGCCTTGAGGCTGCATTTTTGCATATTTCCATGTGCCCGCCGACGTAGATCATGATATGGCGGGGGCGCCTGCGGATATTGAAGCTACAATTCCCGCGACAGAAGAGGAAGCGCAAATGATGCTCTATCCTCAGGTCATTGGCAGTCCGATAAGCATATGACCATTTGATGATGATCCTTTGCGGGGAAGACCGCGAGATGCTGGCGACCTTTCAGAACTCGTCCAGTGCGAACTTGGGCATGATGGAGATCCTCATCTCACGTTCGTGTTTCATGGGCGGTGTCCGAGCCGCCGTGGGCGACCTGCTAGTCGCCGAGTCTGGAGACGCGCGAATCGATCAGATGATGACGAGGACGAGTGGGGAGCTGGGGGCCGACGTATGCAGCGTCGCGGTCGCGGCCGCTCGCGCGGGCGCTCGCGCGCGCGCCCCAGCGGCGTCCGGCGCCCTCGCCCTCCTGACATGAGAGCCCCAATGATTCAACTCCACCGTGGAGGGAGCGTTCGCGGGGGAACCCGCCTGAGGGGGGGGGCCGCCCAGCCGCGCCCGAAGCAGGAGGCGTGCAGCGCCTTGTCAGTTATGGCCATAATGGCCTGGCTCGCCAAAAGATGCCCCCCAACGCGATGCGGCATTGGCTCGACCGAGGCTGGGCCGAGCATGAGATTCGTTATTGATCTTCACTTCGCAACGTTGAGCGGAATGGCGAAGGCAAGATCGTCCGCGCCAACAGAGGCAAGGGCACCAGGGCGATGGCAAATCTTCAAAGACGGGACCTCAAGAGGGCCGTCATCAGCGACCGGAAGACCTACCGGGGAATCGTCTGTCCTTGCGAATATTTCGCCGACCGCAGACCCATGTGTTCGATGGGGCTCCATCAAGGGGCCCTAACTTCGGAAGAAGCCCTTGGGTCTGGTCTCGCGGTGATGGTCTGGGTCGCAGAGTGGATCTTGCCAATCATTCTCACCCGCAGAATGTTTGACTGAAGTTGACTACCGGCCAATAGCTGAGAGAAGTATCGATCGAATCGATCGAATCTGGCAGCAGTTCGATACGAATCACCGCCTTAAGGTCTACTGTCGAGAACATCATGCGGGGCAAATCGCTTTTCTTCTCATGAAGGTGCTGCCCATCCAGAAGGTGATGAAGGGACTGGTCGTGAGGTTCTTGTCAAAGCAGTGGGCCCCGCTGAGGCCGCCCCTTCCGGGCCCGACCCAGAGTCTGAATCGTGCTACTCCGAAGCTGCCGACAGCTCTGAGGCGGCAGATACCCACGACGCTAACACAACAATAGATGATTATGACATGATAACAGAAGATATGGATTTCACTCCAGGCAGGAAAATCGCCTACCATGGCGCACAGATAGGTTGGAAACTTACCCCTGTTAGAAGAAGGGTTAGCGTTGGTAGGTATGATCTGGGTTGCGAACGTAAGGCCAAGATCACGAACATGGCACTCCAGAGGCCGATTTCGCCGATTGTCCTGCGGCGCAACCTCCAGCGGGGTCGCCCGCGGCGGAACGGCCAGCAGAACCTTCCCCCGAGATGGGGCCGGGGAGGACGTTGAGTTCATCCCAATCTTCTTACCCTTCAAGTTCGCACGGGCCACTTGAACCTGGCCAGCAACCGCCACCGCCTGAGCAGAAGAAGAGGACCCGTCCAGATGACGCCAATCCTGGTGCAACAAGTCTCAGCGGTTTGTGGGGGCACCCGCCGAGAGACATCGCCCCAGAGGACCAGCAGTGGCCGCTGCTGCATTGGCGTTTCAAGGCGACAGCGCGCCGACGCCGAGAGATCCTGCGTACCTTCGCGGCCCGACGCCTGGCAGGGCTCACGGGGCAGGCTGGGCGCCAGCGCTGGATGGAACATCCAAATGGGGCCTCATCATCAAAGGACTTTAAAGGTGTTGGAAACTACCTCAAAGGCATCGGGAGCGGCTCTCAAGGTCACTCCATGTCAGTACTTCGGCATCCGTGAGGAGGATGAGGCATCTGGGGGCGCCCGCTCATCGGCAGTGCCTGCAGCGCCTGAGCCATTGGGGATGCATGGCGAACCAGTCGCTGCCCCTGCGGGGCAACCCGCCGTTACTTTCGAATTGCCCGAGGAATGCAGGCGAGGTTGGGAGACCCTGAGCACCGCCAATCAGATGCAGATCAACCCAGCGTGCAGGCCCTTTGACGGGTCTGATCGTTATGTCGTGGTGCAGTGCGACGCTAAGTGTACTGCGACACATGCTAACGACGTTGCTCGCTCACGTCAGATTGCCCGCGACCTTTTGCGGGGGGAACCTGCCCTCAGTTATCAATCTGAGAAGAAGTATTTGAATGGGGTTCTTCGAACAGCAGATATCAGTACTGCAGTACTCAGCGGTCATGACAAGCGCGAGCGCTCGGAATGGCTCACTACCGCCACGCGGCATAAGCCATTCCACGGCGCGCTTTCCGATTTTTGTTTTTGTTTTTTTCCTCAACTGTCACTTCCTATGGCGAGTGCGACGACTGGGTAGAGCTTGGACATTAATGTTGTAACTAGGGGCCGAAGGCCATGGGGGCGGGCAAGGGCGCCGCCTCGAATCTGTCAAGAGGTGCTTTCGTGACCGCCATTGGGCCTATCAGGCACTGGCGGTGCTGGGCCTCGGCGAAATGCGCGACCATTCAGGCGCGCAGAAGCGCGGGCTCCAGGTAAAGAAGCTCAAATTCACAGGCGAGCCTCATCGTGCGTACTGTCTGCGTCCTACCAATGGGCACAGCAGCTCTGGCATAAGATGTCCCGAGTCCCTGTGCGAAAGGGTTGCCGACCCAACATTGCCGGGGGCGCCCTGACATTTTATACATGGCACAAAATGGGCCAACATATACCGAACGTACTCCATGCCTGGCTGTCATGCTGTGCCAGTGATACTAACGGTGGAAGGGGCATGCAGTTAATTCATGGGTGCCTGCGCATGGACTCCGAAGTATTGGTTATGGTGAACCTCAAGAATCTACTTCCTGATGATATCCCAATTTGGCGCTCCGCCAACGACGTTGCTATGGTGGCAGGCCGGGGCGGCGGGGTCCCGCCAAGCCATATTGTTTAGCTCGTTGACATCCTGCCTGGCAGCACTCAGCGTGCACGTGATCGAGTTGGACAGGTCGATTATTTTTCTATGCGTCGAGGACAACGAGCGGGACAACCTGCGTGCTAACAATTTTCTTACACAGTCCCACTACACCGTTCCATATGATGCATCAGCGCTAAGGAGTTTGATGATACCGCAGACCCCCTATAATCCGAAGGTCCCTGCGTCGACGCCCATGCGAGGGGTCGAATTCACCGCTATCCTTATGATGAAAGAGGGGTGCCAAGCGGGGGCGCCTGCAGGGGTATCAGATGGATCATTGATTCCGGCCAGAGTGCGGACTTGTCTGGTAAACGGGATCACGCCCAGCGACGGTCTATATGCAAACGACCCGTGGCGCGCCCAGGCGCACTCGTTGCCAGTGCCTGCAGGGCAACCTGCGTCGTTCGCACTTATGAGTAGGGCTACGACCCATTTGGAACTCCACAGGGTGCTGGGAGTACCAATAGTCTGCAGGCCAGGCTCCAGAGCATTAGAATGGGCCCTCAGCTTTTAGGCTTTGCAAGCGACATCGCCAATTGCATCGCCACGTCCAATTGCGGGGCAACCTGTTTTTTCTGACCATGAAGCTGCCCAGAGGGCTGCGAGCGTGACAGGTCAGCAGCAGTGGATGCACAGTCAGATGCGCGAGGCACTGCAGAGCATGCGTCGGGATGGCATTGACCTCCCGAGCGCTGGCTGGACACCCCCATGGGAATATACTCCTGGTCCGAACCCATCACCAGATCATCCCAACCGATATGGGTACGCTCCAGCATTCTTCAGCCGCGCGACGTACGATCCAACGGCTGCTGAACGAACGACTGCAGCGCCGATGGGTGCACCGATGTTCCCTGACTGTTACGCTCAAGAGACGGGCATTCCAGGCGTTGGTTCTCAGCCTGACAATCCGTGCGTTCGGGCAACAGCTGGCGACTTTTATCAGTCCCGGCTGACGCGTGGTGCCGGGTACGAACCCGGGGTGCTAGGCCAAGTACCTCACTGCGGATACGTGGCGGCCCCCATGGGCCCTGATGTTACGCGCCATGGCCCTGGGTTAGTGGCGCCGTCGCCCGTGGTGGATCTGCGCCCCGAGATCTTGGCCATCCACGATGTGCTGCAGGCCAACTCCACCATGCGATTGGCTCGCCAACGTCGTGATCAGGAGCGACATGCACGCCGTGTGATGGGCCGTGCGGGGGCGGGGATGCCCGCTTTCAGCTTGGCATCACCTGCAGCCGCGGGATCACTTCCTGCAGTTCAGCAGATAACGGTCCCACCGATTCAATGCGAGATTGGTGAATCCACGCTGGAGCGACAGATGCGTATCAGGCCATCGGCAACACCACTAATCATCAGTGACGGTGATTTTACCAAGTGTGCCATTTGTCTGGATAGCTTCGTACACCGCGACAAGGTGTGGAGGCTTCAGTGTGGCCACATATTCCACGTGCCATGCTGGGATCGAGTTGCTCGCGCACATGTGGGCCGACAGCTGGCAGGCACGCTGGAAGGTGCCGCAAGTGAGGCGCCCTGTGCTATTTGCCGGGGTGTTGGCCTCATCGCAGCTGAGTTTCATCGTGCCCTCGCTGGAGATCAGAATGCAGAAAATCGCCATGAAGACATTCTTCGTGGGGCCAATGAGCTTAGAGATCTTCGTGAAGAGCTCAACCGCATCACGGCGATGATGGCAAGCAATGCAATTGTCGCGCCTGCGCTTGC